GAAAATTGACCCTTATGACTGGTTTTGTGGTCCAGGGTCACACATTAAACATTGATGTCAACATTCGAAGAAAAAAAGACGCTGCTTACTTTTGCAGAAAAAGTAATATAATTTTTGATTCTCAAAGAAAGATTCGAGGAATAGAAATCTAAAAAAAAAAATAATAGAATTGATCTGAAATATACTTTTACACTGCTACAAAGAGAGAGAGTGAGAGAGAGAGAGAAAGAGAGAGAGTGAGAGAGAGGGAGAGAGAGAAACGCACATACGTGTGGACACCTAGAAGCGGATTCAAACGCTTTCTCTTAGATGCTTTCACAAGTTTCTGAACAGGAATTAAAGGCAAAGGTACAGCAACTGTTATAATGATAAACATTTAAAGGAATAGTTCCCATAAATGAAAAACCTGTCATCATTTACTCACCCTCATGTCTTTCAAAAACCTGTATGACTTGCTCGCTTCAGTGGAACACAACAGTGGAGCTGTTTATAGCAAAATGGTGACTATGGCTTCAAGGTTTTTCCACACTATTATATGACTTTAAAAGACTTGGAAAATAATGAATGATATCTATATACAGTACACACTAGTGTTAAAAAGTTTGGGGTCAGAAAAAACAATCTGATAGGAATTAATACTTTTATTCAGTATTATATAAATATATATATATATATATATATACACACACACACACACATACATACATATGCATACACACAAACAGTTTATAAAATACCATGGATTACCCATGTTACATGGCCATTTCCACTAGTTTAAAAGCAGACAATATTTGGGCTTGTTGTTTCACACACACACATATACACACTCACACTCACACACACACACACACACACACACAGAGTCATGTGGACTGATGCAATGGGAACGGGAAGACTCAGTATGCGGTCGGGAGATGAAAGGACAGAACCCCTCAGCCAGTTTTGCATGTGTCAGAGCAGAGCACTGTTTGGAAAAAAAAGGATATCATGCTGGCAAAGAGACAAAAAAGAGAGAAAGAAAGAAACCAACCAACAAACAGATCAAGACAGCCCTTAAAAGAGGAGGGACCTGCTGGGAATTAATGAAGTACATTCACCACAGGAAAAACAACTAAATCTGTGTACGATACACAAATAAGAGACCAGTTTCTGTAAATAATAATGTACACCATTAAACATTTGTAAGAATGTCATTAATTTCTTTAATGCAAAAAAAAAAAAAAAGAATTCTTGGTGTGCTGCCATTAAAAACAAGCAAAACCAGAGCTCACTTAAGGTACCATGACTGAATTCATGACACACACCTCTGCCATTCAAAACAGGCTTCTTATTGGCTCCTGAGGAAACCAGTGCACTAGGCATCAGGTCAGGCAGATGCATGAATGATCCATAAACACTTTACACTAGTTTCCTGAGGATTCCCGATGAGATGATCTACAATGCAATGATGAGACTAGTGTAGGTGAGAAAGAACAAAAGAATGAGCAGGAACGAGAGAGGAAGCAGGAGAGGTGGGAGGTGAGCGGAGCGATGGCGCTCTGCGGACAGAGACAGGAAACGGAGGAAGAAACTGTGTACATATACATGTCAGCGGGGCAGCTCCGTCAAGACCTTACACAAATCAGAGAAGCCTACATGACCTTTTCTCAAATATACACACAGGGCAGAGTGCGACGAACCAGAGACGCTCGTGTCTTTAAAGTGAAGACAAACCCTTCACGTGACCCACTTCATGTTGCATATCACTTTAGGTAAGGAGTTCTGTTTGCCATCAAATTGTCACATTGTATTGTTGATCAGAAGACATTTTTGTAGATTTTCAGTTGAAAGAACAGTTAAATTACTGTTATCACTGAGGGTTTCAAAACAGCATACACTCTTAAAAATAACGGTGCTTAAAAGGTTCTTCACAGCGATGTTATAGAAGAACCTTTTTTGGTTCCACAAAGAACCATTCAGTCAAAGGTTCTTTAAAGAACCATCTCTTTCTTACCCTTTTATAATCTGAAGAACCTTCTTTTCGCCACAAAGAACCTTTTGTGAAACAGAAAGGTTCTTCAGATGTTAAAGGTTCTTTATGGAACCATTTATAGACAAAAAAGGTTCTTCTACGGCATCGTGAAGCACCTTTATTTTTAAGAGTGTACATGTTGTTAAAGGGAAAGTCCACCCAAAAGTTGCAAATGTCATCACTTACAGGAATGTAATGGTGAGTAATGACAGAATTTTCCATCTCCACGAAAATGTGGAATAACACAGATTGGGAATCAAGAAAAGTCTTGGACAAAATCTGTTCAGAAAATGAAACGAAATGAAATTCCTTCTTGATACCTTGAGTGAGGTCTGGTTTTGTTTGTTTTTAATGGCATTACACCAAAACAAAAACACAAAACAAAACAAAACAAAAAACAAAAAACACAAAACAAAACAAAACAAAAAAAACACAAAACACAACTAAACAAAAAAACAAAAAACAAAAAAACAAAAAACACAAAACAAAACAAAACAAAATAAAACAAAACAAAACCAAAAATACTCAAACCGAATGAAATGCTCTGTTAAAAGTTTGGGAGCATCTGCATTCTTCCACTAAATAACATACAGTAATGTGGCAAGAAACCACATACTTTTAAGTTCATGTGAATAGCTGAAAAAAAAAAAAGATGCATGCTGACTGTAATAACGACAGCCATCACGCTTCTATTGCATATGTTTAATACGGTGTTAAGTCCATATCAGTGAAAGAATGCAGATGTTTGAAAACCATTAACAGAACTAAACATCATGAGGTTACTCATTTCAACCAAACACTGATTTAGTTACCGGAGCGAAAAGAACGTGATTTTTAAAATTTGTTCTTATTATCAATTTTGAAAACAACTATGCTGCTTAATATTTTTCTAGAAATCTTGAATGATTTTCTTTCAGAAAAAAATGTATGAACGATAGTGCAGACAACAGCGGAAAGATAAAAGAGAAGAAAAACAAAAATAAGGGCAGGGGTGGCACAGCAGGGACACACTGGCACAAGCGGGTCAAAGGGACGCTGGCGAGACCGGACAGACACCGATGCCGGGACTAGAAAGAGAACCCCAGCCGAGCGCAGGCCTATATCAGAGGCCCGATTATGACAGCCGACTCTCTAATTATAGCACTGGCACAAAAGAAGGGGAGGATGTTTTTCTATCCCATTATTATGAAAGAAAAAGAAATGGAATGTGTTTACCCCCCGTTCACCTAACGTGAACTTTCCGGAAATCATATCCGCTGATATTCAGAATTTTGTTTTGGATGCTATTTGTGTTGGTTTTATGCTATAAGCTGAAACCTTAACTGATGCAGATGTGTCACCAATAAAAAAAATAAAACGCGCACTACATTTATGCTCTTTGGCAAATGTGTTCTTATGACACGCTTCAAGTAATCAAAGATCTTAAAACGGTCTTAAAGTCTTAAAACTGCTAAAAATCACACAGTGTGCACCAACTTCCCATGTGCCAATAAGACGACAGCAGAAAGCTAAATGAATGCTGATTATTTAAGAACATCTCCACGAGAATCCAAAAGGGAGAGTGTGTCATGTGTAACGTTAAGCCCATTCCAGCATTAGACATGGGAAAATATTTAGCCGTTTTAGAGCAAGAGCGTCCTGCTGAGTATAAATGTGTGGAAATCTTCAAATTTCCCCATAAAAAGATCAAACATGCAAACAGATATTGGTGTCCTGAGACTGCAGAAAGCTCAGCCAATTAGGAAGCGCTTCATCTGGATCTGGATTTGTTCAGTGTGTCTAAAAAGCGCAATGGTAGCCAACACCACACTGAGAGTATTTTACCATGTGACAATCACAGCAGTTCCACAAATCAGGTGACACTATTTGGATAGCACTGTATGACAGCCTTTAACAACAAAACCATTCAACAGGGCTTGAAAAACTGTATGCATCAAAGTGGAATCATTGCCAAAACTGCCTTTGAACAGCAGGCAAGGCAACATGAAAATCTGCACAAATAATACTATTTTAGGGAAATGTCACTCCAAATACACATTGCATTGGCATTTATGAACAGAACTTTGATCTAATCTACTACAGTAAGACATTGAGTGGCATCCTTACCTTGCCCAGTACAGTAAGGCAGCTGGGGTCCAACTCGGGCTGCTCCAGTTTGACCACCCCAACCCAGCCGTATTCGTACAAGTCCTCGTCATCGTTATTGTTACACAGGCCCAAAGGGTGCATCTGAAAGACAAAGAAAATGTCCTTCAATATTTCAATCCAAAATAAAATTCTAGCCACACACTCTTCCATTCCCAAAAAGACAGATTAGAAAACAGATTGGAAATTGTTACAAAGACTTGACTGCAAGACAACAAAGAAAGCTTTAGGAAAGATTAAGCGAAATGCATGGATTTAGTTTTGTTTTTATTTCAACAAATTTACAGAGAAAGAGTTTCAAATTGCATTATGTCTTGCACCTTTAAATGATAAGCCATAACTATATTATACACATTGCGCCATAACTGCACTTCCTTTATAAACTGCCCTGCATCGACGTGCCACGCCACTCCCGCTAAACAGCAAAGGTGTGGAAACTCTAAAAGGTCGAAGTGGCGCAGACATGATAATTACTGTCATCAGGTGTGCACCGAACCGTCAGATTCACTCTTCTTGGCTCAAATGCCATCTTTCAGTTGTTCAAAGTGTGAAATCTAGCGCTTTTGATGTGTTGAAAATTAACAACATGGACGTTTATCAATGAAAATCTTCCAGGAGATAAAACCCTCCTAAAATGAAAAAACCTAGGTTAAAGATTGTTTGGGAATTGCACAAGCGCTGAACGAGGCCATGACTTGCTTGAGCATGCCGGTTTATTACTTTATTAGTACTATTAGCTTCACTAGACAATAATTTAATTGACATGTTGCTGGATTTTATATTAAATGAATGATATATTAAGCCTTGCTGGCCTTGAATTGTAAAAAAGGAGAATTCCAACCAAAGGATATCAATCTGAAAAAATAAATAGAGCTATAATCACCTCCTTTACATATCGGTGCATATTGATAATATTGGTGCATATATGTATGCATGCATGTTTGTATGTGTGTATATACATATAAACACATCGCCATGACAACTGATTTGACCTGTTCCCTGCCCATTGCTGAGAGCTTCTGGGCAAATATGCTAAGAAGTGCTGCTCCAAATGAACAAATTGGATTACCACTCTGAAAAAGCTGATTATCATCTTAACTCAGGGATCAAAAGCCACATCAGCTCCCAAGAGGCCTTGGATTCCACATTTGCATAAAAGTTAGCTGATGTTGTGGCTTTTTTCTTATTTAAACTGACAACATATTAAAGCAGGGTGACCACGGCTAACCTAGTTTCTCGTGCAAAAATGTAAGATTATGTTAAGATACTCTGGCTGAACGATGCAGTTTCTAATCAGTGACCATCTAGAATGCATTCATTGGGAACCTTGCATTTCAGTGAGGATTGCTCATTGGATTTAGCTGCAGTTTCGCAAAAAAAGTGGCAGGCCCGTCAGGAGAAGTCAAAGATTGCAAACCAATGTGGCACATGGCTGCTAGACAGATTTATACACATCCTCACCTATTTTCCCCCATGTAGTTTAGCCTACTTTTCTGGAGTGCCCTGACATTGCTTCCCAAGCAACTACGTAACTTATGGTTTTTCTGTGTGATATATTGATAAGGTAGGCCAATTTGCAATACCTGAAATATATCATGCAAGAAAAGTCACACACTAAAACTGAGAATTCAACTGCACCTGTTACCATTTGCATGCCTTAATCCAATTTTACAACACACATGCACCAATACTCATGTTTCCCACCAAGCCGCCCCAACACATTTCCCCAGTAGGCCCCTATGACTGGCTGCATGCCCAGTTGCACACTTTTCCCCAATCTCTCCCTTTTCTGTCCATCATTCTGCACTTCGCCCAGCCATCTCTTCTTTAACCACCAAAAGAGGTGGTCCCTTGTTCAGCTCCGCCACCCTCAGCGTCCTCTCATCTCTTGTACAGCCGTTCACACGTGTATATCTCCTTTCATGGGCAGTGCTCTCAGTGAAATCACAGTGGGAATCACTATGATGACAGGCGGTGGAACTCTTCACACCCAGTTCCACCTTAAGCATCAGCGGAATAAAAAAAGCTCAGATTGGTGCAGTACATAAAGTGCTGCAATGGCGTAAGTGATTCTCAATGGAGCTAGCCATGCAAGTCATCTCTATACATGGAGAATGGACAGCTGCCAATGTGCTGCTTAGTTTTCACCCCCTTTATTTGTTTGTTTGTCTTTCGCTTGCACTAACAGATGATGATAATTATAAAAGGATGAGACGTACAAAGAAAAGCATCCCCTTCTTAATAATGGTAACACTAAGCCTTCGAAATATCTCTCTTTGAAAAATATCAAAAAGGACAGATGGACAAACGCAAACTGTTTGTTCTCCTCTTCGCCTCTGAATGAGGGTTGACCTGATTTAGAGTTGGTCAGAACCTTTCCCATCTCAAATGCCACTCACACCAACTTTGTCAGACGCCTAATTAACTGATGCTTTGATCATCAAGTAACAGAACCAGTCCAGGTAGCAGAGTTTCTCCTGTACTCGTTTTAGGCTTTTCTTCTGATGGGTTGACGGTGTTTGATAAAACTTGTTGGGGGTTCAAAGAGTCCTGCAATTCAAAGAAAGCAGTATGTGTTCGCACATCTGTCTGGGGCCAATTCATAACAGTGGGGGCCAGCTTCAACTCAAATCAAAAACACTCATGAAAATATTAGGCCACGCTTGGTTTCTTTCATTGCACCAAATAGTAGGACTTTTTCATTTAATCTCGATCTTCATTTGTACAAGTCCAATGCTGTTTCTTAAAAGCCCAAGATCAATCTCTATATACTGTAATAATGTGAACAGGAAGACAAAAATCTTGCTGTGTTATTTTAGTATTATTTAGATAACATTATAGAATGTATTAATATTTTGTTTTAGCTTTTAGTTTAATATTTTCAGCTATCATTTTAATCTTATGTGCTTTAATAGGGTTCTATGATTTCACCGATGCGGAAGACGTGGATGGAATCGCGGAATCCAGTCATAAAAACGGAATTTACAGCATAACGCGGAATTGTCATGGAATTTAAAAAAAAATCTAATCAATTAATTAGAGATGCTTTTGATTATTAATATTTAATGAAACAATTAAAATGGAATCCAGAAAAATAATAGAAAACAGAATATGGCAAAAGTAAAACAGAATTTGAGAAATAAAAATAAAACAAAAAAATAAAGGTCAAAGGATCGTAAAAATTACATTTTTGTAAAACATTTAATAAATTGCTGTTAAATATTGTAAGTTTCATGATTTGATGATAATTAGACATGCTTTACGGTGAATAAAATTGTATTTAACAATTAAAACAGAGGCTAGAAAAAAAACTGAATCTAGAAAAATTTAAATGGAAAAAACGGAATTTGGAAAAAATAAAACAAATGTTATAGGACCCTAGCTTTAGTAATTTTTATTAGTTTTAGCGTATTTATTTTTCTATTTAGCTTTTTTTTATTCAGTAATTTTAGTTCTAATATACGTTTCTTCTTAATAAAAAAAAAGTATTTAATTCTTTTTGAATAGTTAAAAACAACAACGCTGGAACTGAATCAGTAAATCTGCATTAATACCCAGTCCTACAAAACTGTGCAGGTAGACATATTTCTAACTGGTGGAAACCAGTATTTGTTTAACGGTTGTAATTCAATCAAAATCAAGTAAATAGTTTCCTTCTTCTGAAACCCTGAAGCCATTACCGACACGCAATATTATATCATTTAAACAAAACCGCTTCAAATGAGATGATAAATGACCATGTGCGTTTAAAATAAAAAGTCAGTTGAAGGCTGCAAGACTAAAGGACACGAAACACAGCAGATCTAAAATCAAACCAGCAGATAGTAGCCTAAATGTTTGAAAAACACAGACCTCTTATTGTCAAAGCTGACCTAAGCGTGTTGGTACACACAGAGCAAGCGTTGACGGATCGTGGCTGTGGTCCAGTAGTAGAGAGCACAGAACACATGAGTCGCAGCCACAGGCATGGCATTTAGGTCAAGGCCAGTATCAATTTCACCCGCAACAATCAAAAAGCCCAGCTAGCAAACTCCACTCCAGAACCCACACTACAACCACTTTCACTGGCTTCAACTGCATGTAACCCCACACCAAGATTGCAATTAAAATGGAATCCAGAAAAATAATAGAAAACAGAATATGGCAAAAGTAAAACAGAATTTGAGAAATAAAAATAAAACAAAAAAATAAAGGTCAAAGGATCGTAAAAATTACATTTTTGTAAAACATTTAATAAATTGCTGTTAAATATTGTAAGTTTCATGATTTGATGATAATTAGACATGCTTTACGGTGAATAAAATTGTATTTAACAATTAAAACAGAGGCTAGAAAAAAAACTGAATCTAGAAAAATTTAAATGGAAAAAACGGAATTTGGAAAAAATAAAACAAATGTTATAGGACCCTAGCTTTAGTAATTTTTATTAGTTTTAGCGTATTTATTTTTCTATTTAGCTTTTTTTTATTCAGTAATTTTAGTTCTAATATACGTTTCTTCTTAATAAAAAAAAAGTATTTAATTCTTTTTGAATAGTTAAAAACAACAACGCTGGAACTGAATCAGTAAATCTGCATTAATACCCAGTCCTACAAAACTGTGCAGGTAGACATATTTCTAACTGGTGGAAACCAGTATTTGTTTAACGGTTGTAATTCAATCAAAATCAAGTAAATAGTTTCCTTCTTCTGAAACCCTGAAGCCATTACCGACACGCAATATTATATCATTTAAACAAAACCGCTTCAAATGAGATGATAAATGACCATGTGCGTTTAAAATAAAAAGTCAGTTGAAGGCTGCAAGACTAAAGGACACGAAACACAGCAGATCTAAAATCAAACCAGCAGATAGTAGCCTAAATGTTTGAAAAACACAGACCTCTTATTGTCAAAGCTGACCTAAGCGTGTTGGTACACACAGAGCAAGCGTTGACGGATCGTGGCTGTGGTCCAGTAGTAGAGAGCACAGAACACATGAGTCGCAGCCACAGGCATGGCATTTAGGTCAAGGCCAGTATCAATTTCACCCGCAACAATCAAAAAGCCCAGCTAGCAAACTCCACTCCAGAACCCACACTACAA